TGAGATTTGAACAGCTGAACTGCAGAACTGCAGTCAGCTGAAGTAGCCTGCAGTGCTGCATTTAACCACTGCACCACCTCAGCTCTATGAAGATTATAGGAAGCTCCATTATTCGGGATACTGCTTATAAGCGCTATGTGGTTAGAGTTCAAAACCTTGTTAGAGACCCCACCCACCCACTTTACGGTCTGTTTCTCCCCTCTTCAAAGTATTTCTAGCAGGACTAACAGATTCTGTAACAGCTTTGTTCCTTTTGCCATCTTGTAAACTTGCAAGATTCGTTTTTCTCGGCATCTACATGTATATGTTCAAACTTGACTCTGATATTTATCTGTGTCATATGTATGTGTATGTATAATGGTCATCTTTTGAGAGCAGACTACAACAAAATTTCATTTTAATGTATGTTGATTAGTGTGACAATAAATAGACAATAAAGTCCTTCTCTTCTCTTCTACTCTACTCTACTCTACTCTAATTTTGTGGATCAGCTGATCAGCTGAAGGAGAACTTGAAGTTGGGCCTTTCTAGGTCTAGAGGAGACCAACATCTTATCTGCTACACTGTATTGAGTTAGAAAAGCCTAGGAATGTCAGTGAGCAGGTACTCAATTTTTGCACTTTTGTATCAACAGGACATGTAATCAAGGAATACCAGGACCTCAATGCATTGTGGAATGGCAACTATACCACCATTGAACTGCCCTGGTCGTATTATGGATGCGGCCATGCCATCTACAACAATGCTCTGTACTACCAACGGGTGGGACGCAACATTGTTGTGAAGTAAGTAGCAGTGGCAGCTTGAACTTCATGGATAAGGCGAGACAGGCTCTGTTTCAGATGAGCAGAGTTGGAAAGGACATTGTAGGTCATCTAGTCCAACCCCCAACTCAAGCAGGAGACCTTACGCCATTTCTGACAAGTCCAATCTCTTCTGGAAAGTCTCAAGTGATGAAGCTCCTGCAACTTCCAAAGGCAACTTCTGTTCCATGGGTTGATTGTTCTCACT